TTAAATGCCACAAGTCACTCGTTTCTTCACTTTGAACCGCAAGTGCAACCCCCCGCTGTTCAAGTGGCGATAGATAGTACAGACCATCTCGGCATTTACCCACTCCAAGCAGCATCCTCGAACTCAAGTCCTAAATGACATAAAAATCAGTAAAGAATATTACGGCATAGCTAAAATCTTTAGTTAATCTGCTAACTGAAAACAAGCAGCATTTAAAATCTGGTATGCATAAGACATCATCAATTTTTATTTTTAGAGAGAGGATAACACTTCCTATCCCTTTAACAGGTACAGCATGACCATTTGGTATTTTCACGGGCAATGAATTGGAGCCTCTAAATTCCGTGAAGCAAGAACGATTCAGAGTAATGTGTATCGAGGCATTTGTGTCAATTATCCAAGGAATGGTATCCCAAAACTTGCCAGACATGTGGGCTATGGGTGTAACCTGATTGTTGGTAAGTTTGGTGTCCTTAAAGTCCAAGTTGAGGCATTGCATGAGTTTGTGATATTGCTCTGACATTATCCCAAGGATGGGGCTTAGTTCTTTATTGACTTGCACTGCTCATGGAGGAACGCATTTGTCACGGTTGCTAGTTTTCTTTTAATTACTCGGATATCCTATGAGGTCGTAACATTTGTTCTGAGTGTGCTCGAGTCTATTGCAATGATTGCATTGCAGTCTATCTTTCTTGCGATCAGTACAATCACTCTGAACATGAAATGCAGTGGCTTTCATCGTGGGTTTATGTGTGGCTAAAATCTATCTTTGCTATTCATCTTTGGCTACTAGATGGCAGGCAACTCCAAGTCTTGGCAAGGGCTTCATGTTGAGGATTTGGGTCTTTATGGTTGTATAGCCATCCTCCAACGCCATGAGAAAGTCATACAGGTGTTCCCTTTCCTTCATCTCGACCAACTGCTCTTATATGTTACATGTGCAGCCTGCACATGAACACTTCAGCCATGGTGCAATGGAGTCAATTTCATCCCAGAAACCTTTGAGTTTGTTGAAGAAGGTTGGCACAGATTGTTTATCTTGCCTCATGTGAGTAATAGCTCGACGTAGTTCATAGGCTCTGGGTGCAATGCCCTTTCCAAATCGTTCTTGAAGGTCAACCTATATCTCACGTGCCGTCTTGGCATAGCGAACACTACTCTGGACCTCTTTGTCCATTGCACTCTTCAACCAGCCGATAACCATGGCGTTACAACATAACTAATAGTTCAGGTCGAAGGAATCAACGGCAAGCATCAGAATTGAGCCGTCCACAAAACCAATCTTGTTTTTTGCGAATAAAGCGTTACTCTTATCAGTGACCCACTCGCTATAATTGTTTTCACGGAGAAGCTTACCGACATATACTTGCCCCGAATTGTCAAAGGCGTGAATGTAATATGGCGACATGACATCAATGCCACCGACTAATGAAGTTTTCCGCATGGAATCATCCATTCTCACTGTGACTCAGAGACCTAAGCTCACAAAATTCGGTTGGTAGGATCTATGCTCTGATACCATGTGAAATTTAGAGTGGTAAGTGTATTTTTTGTCATTCACAAATAACAAGTATATATACAAGAGCGGTGCCGCATGTATTTCGCATGCCTATATCTCTTATCTTAACTACATGATCATTTCTCTCTTTATAATATTATTTTATATCCCTACATTTCAGGTCGCTTCTATCAGCATATAATCAGATCGTATCTTAACCTCTAACAATGTATGACATATATATTAGCCAAAAAAAAAATTTAATAACTTGCCCACAAGAATTTCAATGTAAATATTTCTTTAATATGCTTCCTATATACAATGGGGAATTTTTTTATCAAAAAAATTGTAATAAGGTCCCATCCAAGAGATTTTATTTGTTTAATCATCAAATTGTCCTTTTTAAGCATGCATTGACTACTGAAAAAGGAGTCATTAACAAATTAAACTGTAATGATCAACAATTATCATGGCAATTATTAACAACTCATGCATAATATTTTTGTGATGCGTTAAAAAAGGGTATTGTTAATATCTATCACGATAGTAATATATTCTTCTGGTCCTAAATATACGACCCCTTTTATAAAAACACTATAAAAGGGGTCGTATATTTAGGACCGGAGGGAGTAATATTTTTATGTATAGATGTTTAGTTTCGAAGACTTAAGTAAGTAAAATAAATATTATAAAGTTCAAGATTTCATAATAACCTAAGCGTGAAAAAAAAAAAAATTCTGAACTCTGGCCAATTGTCCAAGGCATTGATGAAACACTTGACCTCCGAAGTCGTTTTCCTCAATGAAAACAACACAATAGATCTTATTGGAAAAAAAAAAAACAACACAATAGATTAGTGTTTGACCCAGGCGGACCAAATCAATTTTGCTGAGCCGCCCCTATTCGCAAGCCAAATCAAACTAGATGTGGGACAGGAAATTTAGAAGTTTAAGTGGCAAACAAATTATCGTGCTTTATTAGTTATAGTTATAATGTAAAATAGCATCAACACCTTAATCTTATTTTTCAGTTGTATCTAATGTCATGGTTTAGGAGATGTAACTAAAAAAACTAATATCGGAATGTTAAAAATATGCGCTAAAAAAATAAGGTTAGTAGTGTTGAATGCATCATAAAAAAAAAAAAAAATTTAAGTGCTAGATGTATCTAAAAAATAAGATGGGAATGTTGGTTGTATCTTTACCTCTTTCTTATATGATCTTCAATTATTATTCTTCTAAAAATGAAAAATTTTACAAAATGACTTAAAGGGTGAGAAATTTCATAAGGAGGATCAGCTCTACGAGCTTATGGTAGATTTTAAAATATGCAACCGAGTTGACAGAAATCTTCAGAAATCTGCACTGATAATTCTTAAGTCAAAGTTTGATTGCAGATCCGTAACGGACCTTAGCTTCAAAACTTGATCATTCCCCTTGAATATCCTACCCTTCATATGCACAATTTTCAACAAAAACTAAAAGGAACGTTGTTGAAGAAAAGTCAAGGGCCATTTATACCGTTCTGTTAAAAGTCATTTTTATATTGCTGGACGAAAAAAGTCAACAAAGAAGTGACAGACTGCCAACACATAATAAATTTGTTGACCCACTCTTGGACAAACCAAACCAGAAGGAATACGTTGTATGTTGTTGCCATTTGATTGATTTTAATACAGGACGTTCATATATTGACCAAGTCAATTTGTTGCCCCCTCTTACCCAAATGCTTTCCAATTGCTACTCCAATTAGCTACCTCCATGCTCAGATTCTAGTTTAGCTGGGGAAAAAAATCCTTCAACTGAAGAAAGTCAGGATAATAATGAAGTAATAGTTAACAATGTGACAAGTGCAACTTCGCTGCGCCTTCCCAAGAAGAATCGCAAGTAGACTTTCATGGGTAAGACCTCTAAGACTAGTGATAACAGTAGATTATGGCCATTTTGGTAGCAAATTGAAAATTACTTTGTTTATCAGCAACTCTTCTTCTCTTTAATTGTAGAGTACCTATGGCTACCGTTGCTTCAAACATCTACTTTCTTAATAGCGGTCACAAATAAATTGCAGAATTAATAGAAGCCTCAAACATTCCAAAGGTTTTGTGGTCCATGGCTGGTCACTTCTATGAATTGCCGTGTTATATACTCCCACCTACGTAGGAGGGGAAAAAATCACTTCGGATAATCCCAAAAAAAAATATTAAAAGTAGTTATTTTCCTAATATTGTTTAAATTGATTTTTTTTTTCCTGAAATATTTTTGGTATAATATTATTTAAACTTTTTTCTCTCGTGACCATAATGCATTTTGAATAAAGAATACAATTTGAAGAATCTTTTTTAATCATTAAAACCAAGAAATTAAACTCATCTCAAAATTTTCTTATGTTTTAGATCTATCGGAGGAAGCGCATATGTTAGAACAGAATTAACAGGGACAGCGTGCTCGGAAAACGTGCGTAGATCATATTGCTTAAGGTATTATGGTTTTCTTTGGCCAAAATAAATCCATTTTATTGATAGCCAAACAAAGCAAGTTCAAACACTAACAGTGGAAGGAAAAAAATGAAGCACTTAAAAAAAAAAAATCTGTTATGAACTAACAAACCAAAACCTCACACAAACAAAATATTACCTAATCACAACACAAATACAATGACTGCCTATTTTTAAGATGCATTTTGTACTATAAATTACTTCTTACATATGAAAATTTGTTTTGTAAAGGGGCGCAAAGCATGTCTTGAGGGCGGTGTAAGATGAGACACATGCTTAACATCATCAGGCACAACAAAAAAATTTTGAGAAAATTACAATAAAATCCTAAGAAAGAAAAATAATTACAAAATAAGTTTCAGAAGTTGTCATCACCAGGCTACTTAGGTTGTTATTAGGACTTTTCAGTAATCATATTTTTTCTTTAGAACTTGATTATAATTCTTCTAATTTATTTAAGGGATAATTGTGTTTGTGAAATGAAAATCGTATTGCTTATGTTCTTTAATGCTTTATTGGGACTATGCGAATATTTGACATTGAGGATCCATTCCCTCAGAATTATTGAGGATGTCTACACGTGCTGGGAAACTTATTTCCTTGAGCTACTACAACAATAAAAATTGGTCCATGTAAACTGTAATCATTTGTGTTTTTGTGTCATAAACAAGGATTAGATTTGTAAACAAAGAGAGTTATTGTTTGAAATTTTCGAGTTATTAAATAAATTTTAATTTAATTGTACACTCATGACTTGGGATTGAATTACCTTGTTTATGGTTTAATTGGTGGTTATTTATGCTATATATTGTACATTATATATATATATATTGTATATTATGTTGTTTTGTGGTTTAATTGGTGGTTATTTATAATGTAAAAGACCTTTATCTGCAGCTACAAGTAGACCAAAGCTTATAGAAAATCATATTGCACAAACACAATAATAAAAGAAAGCAAATGATGACAACATGAAATTCACTCCCTTTTTTTTTCGCCCAGCAGGGGAATGTCAAAATTAATTTTATAATTCTTTTTTATTCCTGGCAAATAGGTAGATGTACGCAAGCTTAAAGAAAAAATTACACAGAAACACAAAAATAAAAAACAAATAAAATGAAAGCCACATGAAATTGCAACATCTTGTTCGCTTTTGTTTCCTAGCAAATAGAATCAGAATATGGACAAGGAGGAATAGCCACTTCCGTAACTCCCTCAAGCATCAACACTGTAAGACCCTTAACCTTAAACACATTATAACTCATCATAAAATCACTACTATAGTAGAAAAGGAAAGCTGTTAAAATGAGCTACCATAGTAGAAGGAAAATTTCATATTTTTAGAAATTGACTTTCAGACTCGGGTCATCCCGTAATCCGTTGCATGTAGCTAAAATCATTCATTCATATACACTGGGCCTCCGAGCCTCCGGCCCGGGTAACAAAACACATCACAACAGCCCATCTAAAATGATTCCCAACCAAAATAATACAGAGTTCATAAAACACTAGCAATGGCCTCCAGCCAACCAAAATAAGGAGATACATTCTCTCCAGTTTACAACAAGGCCAGGTAATCAAATATATCAAAAAGCAGTCCTAAATGTGGCAATATATACTAGTCATACATATACAAATGCTAGAGGCCTAAAGCTAACCAAGCTCAAGCCTCTGCGTCTCTTCCCGATGGCCCACGCCCGAAACCTTCACCTGAAAACATTGTAAACCACGGGGTGAGACAAAGTCCCAGTAACCAACCTTTCCAATACTAGGTACTACTAAATAGATGCTCGTGAGGTGTCAAGTGGGGCAGTTCACAAATAATATATAACGATAGCCACAACAATTCATGCAAGTGCAATGATGCAATCCCATCAACCAAATCCCTCACTTTGGGGGATTTTTAGGAGCCGAAGCCGGCCTATCCCTTACTATGGGGGACGTAAGGAGCCATAAAGGCCTATCCCTCACTCTGGGGGATGTAGGGAGCCAAAAGGCCTATCCCTCACTATGGGGGACGTACTAAGCCAACCACCATGCATTAATGGAGGCCTTACCACGTGGTAGTAACAGACAAAACTCTCACCAATTTCCCAATTAATGCATCATGCTCAAATCATAATCAAGGAGTAATAATCATTTCACAATTAACCTCATTCAGTGGCATAACTTTCACAATTCGAAAATTCATTCATCATTAGTCGAAACCCCACAAGACGGTTTTCGTTTTTATACACAACATACAGTTTGAACATAATTACTACTTAGAGCACAAAACATAAATCTACTCACAATACCACAGAAGCAAGTACTAAGGATTGGAAAGTGGTTACCTCTCGCCTGAACAAGGAATAACAAACCAACGATGTGGCCCCGTGCACCACCAAGACTCACAACCGGTCTACACAAGCACACAAACACACAACCATCATATATTAGCTTTCAAACTAATAATTTGGCCAAAACAACACTTGGGGACACAAAATTCCTATCTCCCATCCAAAACTCTACCCAACTCAAAGGGTATAACTATCAAGGCAACACTCCAAAGTCATACCAATCCATTAAAACCTTAATTCCTTTCCAAACATCAATTAAAATTCATAACCTCAAGGACCCACTATAGGAATTCTACCCCTAAACATCCCATTTGAGCAATTAAGGTTCCAACAACAAATCTAAACCGATTAAACATCCAATTTAACCCTCCTTAACATAACCCAAATCACAAAACTCAGAATCAACCTCTATATTGTCATCCTCAATCCCAAATCATCCATTTCCATAAACCCTAACTCCAAAAATTCAAGATTCTTTAAATCCAAGAAAACTACACCGATTAAATACTTAAACTAACCCAAAGCAATCAATTAAACTCAAAACAATCGGTCAAAAACCTCAATTCTATCACAACTCAGAAAATCCTAGGGTTCCACCAAAAATCCTCAAAAATTCCAAGAAATTCCAAGAAAGAAAGAAGATTAGAGGTTAAAATCACTTACTTGAGGTAATGGATCCTTAGAAATGCCTTTCCCAAGCCTCAACAATGAAACCCTAACAGAGCTCCTCTCTCCTCCTTCAGATTTTCTTATTTTCGCACGTTGAACCCTCCCGTGACTATATAGATTCGCGACCTTTCGCCGCGGCGAACCCCAATCTTCGCCGCGGTGAACTAATCCCGAGAGGGATTACTCGTCTGAAAACCCGACTTCGCCGCGGCGAAAGCTTCCCGAGAGGAAACTCTTGCTCGCTCAGAAAAACTTCGCCGCGGCATACCCTTACCTTCGCCGCGGCGAAACCTTCCCGAAAGGGAAGCCTCGCTCACCAGAACAACTTCGCCGCGGCGTCCCTATAACTTCGCCGTGGCCAAACCTTCCAGGGAAGACACTCCCCTCTAAAACTCCTGGTGTTTACTTCGCCGCGGCGAACATACCCTGAGAGGGGTACATTCACCTATTCCTCCAACAAACCTCAAATCCAACCCAAACACCAAGATCAAGATTAAATTGCTAATCTATCCTCAAAATCAACCCAAAAGAGGCTATTAAAACCCGATAAAACTCAGGATGTTACAAACACCACACTCTTCATTGATGGCCGAAGAAAAGGTTCATCTTGAATACACCATAACCCCACTTTCACCATATTCTCCAGTAAATTATTATCCACTTCTTCCCCTACAACCAGCTTGTTTAACTCTCGCCGAGCAAAGCACTTGCACACCCAATTAGACAGAACAATTTGTTCTGGATTCAACATATTAACCACTATACTTCTTCTGCAAAAAACAATCTCCAAAAGCATTATTCCATAGCTATAAACATCTGCTTTCACTGTTATTGGAGTGTTCTTATTCCATTCTGGAGCCAAATAGCCTCTTGTGCCCCTAACTTGAGTGAAGGTTCTTGTTTGATCTGGCATCAGAAGTTTGGCCAACCCAAAGTCAGATATTTTAGCTGTGAAAAGCTCATCCATCAATATGTTTTGAGGCTTTATGTCACAGTGAATGATAGGAGCCCTGCATTCTTCATGCAGATATAGCAACCCTCTTGCAATGTCTAGTGCTATTCTTCTTCTCTGATCCCAATCTGGACGCATAGTACTGTCACCAAAGATAAGCTTCTCAAGGGAGCCATTGCTCATGTACTCATAAACCAGAAGCCTTTTAGATCTCTCAGCACAATATCCCAGCAAGCGAACCAAGTTTTTGTGCTGTGTTTTCCCAATGGCTTGCATTTCAGCTTCAAGTTCTCTCTCTCCTTCATCGATTGACTTGTGTAGCATTTTCACAGCAATCAATTTTCTTCCTTTGTGTAAAGTTCCTCTGTAAACTGATCCGAAGGAACCCTTACCCACCTCTTGTTTGAAATCGTGTGTGGCTTTCTTCAGCTCACTGTATGAAAATACCCTCAGAGTACTCCCTTCGGTCACTCCTAAATCTCCAATCTCCAACAACCTCTTGTAACTTAAAAATCCAATCTTGTATATAAACCGGGTAGCGACAGCAACTGCTGAACACAAAAGAATAGCAAAACCCAAGACAATGAGAATGATCATCTTAATTGCTTTCTTACTGTTAGTCTTGATCGAAGGTGGCTGGTTGTCTCTGTTGCTTTTGAGGCTTTGATGTCCCACCTTGAAATATATTGTGGAGTAGGAGGATAGATTTTCTCTTCTGGCATATCTCAATGGAAGCTTATGTTTGTTGCACCGATTGTTTGTATAAAAGGCAGCCCCACAGTAACAATCTTGCAAACAAGAATTTGGGCATTCCTTCTCCATAATGTCTTCGTCTGTATAAGGATGGTCAAGATCACCATCCACGCTCATATGTTCAAGAGGGGACATGAAATAAAAAGTTGCATTATCTTTCCCACCTTCACATTCAGCTTCTGAGAAGTTCCTTTTGCATCCCAGATTCTTATGACTTGGGTCTATATAATCAGTTCCGGGAAGACAATTGCAATAAGATTGGCTGTCATTGGAGGTACAATAGCTGTTGAACCCACAAAAAGTCTTTACATTACAAAGATTGTCCAACTTTGACCGTGACCACAACTTTTTAACTTGATGTTTCTGATGTGCGTCGTCAAAATGAGCGTAGATTCGTAAAACTCCATCAAAATCAATAGTTGCACGACAAATAGCGTTGTTCCCTTTGGAGAAGTTGAAGTTGATAGGCATCCTCCAGATAATTTGTGAGTTGGAGCTACTGGCATTCACAATCCATAGAGTCTGAGTATCTGTGCCGTTGAGCAGAAGATAATAATATTTGGAACCACCGCCAGAACCAGTATCAGAGGCCCAGTAAGCATCCAAACCTGTGGCAGCAGAATATCGTGGGTACAGAACAAGGTTTCCATCATACTGCATCCAGAGTTGAAACCTTCCAGAAGAATGGTTGATGTCTGATAAACTAGACACCAATTGACCCCAAGAAAATAGCTTTTGGCCTCCTAACAGAGTATCAGTTGGGTGGTCGAAACTCTGCCAAAGGATGTTGGAATTTCCGTCTTGGAGAACAAAGTTTCCACAATCAAGCATGGAAGCAGAGGAAACAGTTACATTCCCCGGATCAGCAACAACCTTCTTTTCCCTTGGACCTGTTTGCAGAAAAACCCCGTCATTTGTGGTTACAACGAGCCTTGCATTTGAGGAGACAGGAGGGTCATCGCGATTTGCAGTCCAGACGATTGTTTTATTAATTCCATCCAGCAACCAGATTCCAACTTTGAACCCATTGCCTTGCTTGTAAAAGCCAAATGCAAATCGACCTGAAGGTGAAGGCCACGAAGGGGGGTGATCAGTGGGGGAAAATAAAGAGCCAGGTGATATGGACTGTGTAAATACTGTCTGACATAGAAAATATACTAAAAAGAGAAAGTAGATGTTTGATGCAATGGTAGCCATGGTCACGAAAATCTCACAGAATTGCAGAATCGCTGATAAATAAAAAGGCTAGCTGCAACGGTGGCCGTGATCTTAAAGTCTTCCAAGTCTTCCCCGAAAGTGTTGAGAAGTTGCCAAGCTGTCATTTCCTCACTCTATTTTTTTCCACCAAATTTCCTTACTGTGTCATTACTTTCGTCCATAGTAGAAAATGACTGGGGAAGCCCAGCACGTCAAATTACTAATTAAGAATATTATTTATATGAAATTTTATTTTATTTAAATTAATTGTAGAATTATCATAGATAAATTTTTAATTTAAAATCTTGTAGGATAGTATTTAGGAAAAATTCCAATTAAATCTAATTTAAAATCCAAATTCAGGCCATGGCCTGATTATAAATTTATGAATATTTTTAAAAGAGTATAATACCCTTTCATAGTTGAATTAGCCTTTCCCTGTAGTGAGGGCACCAATCGTCTTTTTTCCGTAAAGGTTACTCTAACACCATGGAGGTGTAGTCCTTTTGTTGTACAGAACACATGTAACAATGGAAATTGTTAGTGGCAATCTAAAATGGGGCCTAACTTTTATCCCTTCTGATATCAGTTGTTGTCGTAGGGGAGAAGATGATACCCAAATTTTAAATTCTTATTAGCATCAAAATGGTTGTCACAAATAAATGAACGAATGCAACTAAAGGTTCTAATTAATTTTAAATGTGTTGTCCAATTTGTTTCTTGCTTGTCACTTTTTGAATTGCTGTGTTATATACTCCCTCTGTACAAATCAATTCACAGTTCTCAAAAAAGAAAATTGTTGAAGCTAGTTGTCATCAAAGTCCAAGAATACGGATCAGACGTTCAACCAGTTGAGGCAATGATTCAAAATTCAATGAACTAAATCAGAGTCAGACTAGAATCAAACTAATAATTATTAAATAATACTCCCTCCGTTCCTTATTATAAGAGACATTTGGTGTTTATGGCATGTTCCTATATATAAGAGACACTTAAAAGTTGTCTCTACTTTTTTGTGTTGATTTCCTATTGTACCCATATTTATTGTCTCCAATTCACACACTCTCTCCCTCTCACTTCTCTTTCTTTCAACAATTTAATTGTTCTCTCTCATACTCTCTCTCCTTATTAATGAGGGTATTTTTGGAAAAAAAATTATATTTTTTACACATTGATTGTTCTTAACTACTTTTAACTGCTTTTTTGATCAACGTAATTCGGTTATTCGTCTCTTATAATAAGGAACGGAGGGAGTATAATTTAATTAAAATGTATAAAATATTCATATTTAAATCAAGATACTAAAAACCGGAGATGCTTCTGAACAGTCAAGGTAATAGATCAAGAATTAATGGATTAGATTGGAGTGAAATCAAGGTCAAACTGGGAGGGGATAAAAAAATTAAAAATTAATTTAAATTCTTATCATACCATCCGAAAGACTAAATATCATTACAATACCTTGAATTACTAATAAAATAATCATATACTTTTATTTTCTTTTTAACTTTCTCTACAATTCCCTTCACAAATTGACATCATAGATAATACTATAGTACTATTAAAATCACTGAATATTCATTCTAACAAAATATCAAAATATATTTATACTAATAAAATATTTCTACCTACAATTTTTTAGTCACTAAACTAATGACTATCAATAACTTAGAAAAAGAAAGAAAATCAAGCAAATTTTTGGCATTAAAACAACTTTAACAAAAATAAAAGTTAAAAAAATAGAGAAAATAATTAGTTGGGTTAACTGAGTTTCTCCCTATACCGGGTCACCCTGAGGTAACCACCGAGTTTTGCTATCAAGCGAATTGGCCTGATGATTGGTTTCTAGTCCAACTCATGCGGTCCGGTTTCTAATTCATTAATTTCGCATAAATTCTTTCTTCTTTTCGTTTTCTTTCCCATCTCCTCTATGTGAGCCACGCTGCTCTTTTTTTAATTTCTTTTCTTGTTCTTTTTTATTCTCTCTGTTACTTTATGGCTTGAGTGTTTAACACTAGTATAGTCTAAAGGCTAGGTTGACAGACTTTTCCTCTTGCCTTGACTTTCCAGCCCCTTTTCAGTACCTAAGGCTTGTTGGCCTGGTGGCACAGATGGTGTCCTCACTAGGAATCTGGTCCGATCCTTACTCGCAAGTTTTGTGAGCTTGCCCACTCAAGAAAAAAAAATCATTCTTCCAGCAACGCCCCTCATCATCTTCGTTTGTGCATGTGACCCATTTTTCCTAGTAGCTTTCATGGTTTCTCCTTACGCAGATCTAGTTGGCTCTCACCAAAGGCAAACGATAGTGACCATCTTTTTTCCTCCTCCTTACCTTGGTCTCCTTCATCCTTCAGAGCCAACTTCCTTCCTCCGTCCTCCTCCTCTTCCCCTCATCCTCCTCCTCTCTCAGAAAAGATATAAGAAATCCAGTGTAACCCACCAAACAAGCCGGATTGTTCCGGTTCAGGCAAAGTTACACCGAATTTGTCTTCTCCCTATTTAGGAGGTAAATCAGATTGGACAACTAGTTGGTTCATTGTTTTTTGGTCTGAACCGACCAGTCCAATCTGGTTTTTTGAATAATATTATCTTCTTAATAATATTTTAAATTGATTTTTCTTAAAATATCCTAGTATAGTATTATTTAAATTTTTTTTTTCACGAACTTAATGCAGTTTGGATATCTCATATGGACCCGTCTTTCAATAGCGAAAGAGTAAGGAAATTATGCAAGGTTCCAAGTTTGAAGTACACTTATCTCTAAAATATTTTCAAGAGTTTCGGATACTCTAAAAGAAATTATCGAGCGCTGGCCAAAAAAAAAAAAATGATTGAGTAATATAACATTTAATCTTCTAAAATCATTGTAACGTTGTTTTTTCCCCGGAACAATCAACGTTAATCAATAGTTAGGGTTGGATAAGAGCCTTTTTGGATCTAATATTAATTTTTTTTTTTTGTTTTTCGTTTAAGAAAAGGGGGAACGTCTTATTAGCAGATGCATCAGGAAAGTAACTTGCTCTGCATTCGTGGATATGAAAGGATAAGACATAGTAAATCTGGTGCTTAATATAAGAGTTAATTGAAGATTCAATTTAGTCCTAAATAGAAGACCCTAATCTACTTTATTTCTCATATTTATTTATTTTGCTCCCAAGTAATTTCTATGGTGATTACATAAGATAAAGATTTTCCATTACAGGGTAGTTCCAATGCAACTGATAAACAAGAGTATTTTACGGGAAACAGCATCCACTTAATACAAATAAAAAATTTAAATAATTTTCTTAATATTCGCAAAATTAGTTATCTAACTTTTATATTAAGAATTCATGCACTGGTAGCAGTAAGCTAAGATAGTTAAGTAAACACAAACTTGAATATGGATATGCAATTGTATATATATACATACATACATATATTCTGATGCAAAAAGCTGCATAATTTTTTAAGATTATCAAGTAAGTGGGACTGGAGATGGAGGGATTGGGATATCTTTTAACCCCTCCAACATCAGTATCACATTCTTCATAGAAGGATGCAGAAATAAGTCCTCTTGGACACACCATAAGGCCACCTTCACCATTCTCTCCAATGTCCTCCGTTCCACATCTTCATCTAACACCAATTTATGCCATTCCCCTCTCACAAAGCAATTATATACCCAACTAGAAAGCATTATTTCCTCTTCTAAAGGAGCATTCAAGTCTATATTCCTTCTGCAGCATATGATCTCTAGCAGCACCACGCCATAGCTATAAATGTCAACTTTAACAGATGGCAATGCATGTTTTTGCTGTTCAGGTGCCACATAGTGACTTGTTGATTCGTTGGTATCTCTGGCTCTTGAATGTTCTGGCATTGATGGCTTTGCAAGGCCAAAATCAGATATTTTTGCTGTCCACAATTCATCCAAGAGAATGTTACGAAGCTTGATATTGCAGTGGACAATACAAACTTCACATTCTTCATGAAGGTACAAGAGCCCCCTTGCTACATCCAATGCAATTTTGACTCTTTGTTTCCAAGATAGATGCATCTCAGCCTTGAATAGAAAATCTGCTAGAGACCCATTGCTCATATATTCATAAACAAGAAGCTTTCTTGAACCATCAACGCAGTAACCAATGAGCTGAACTAGATTTCTGTGGTGAGTTCGAGCAATTGCAGTGATTTCAGCTTGAAATTCTCTTTCTGCTCCTTCGTCAATATTGTTTAGTCTCTTCACAGCAATCCTTCTATTATTTCCTTGAATTGTTCCCTTGTAAACCACTCCAAAAGTTCCTTTGCCAATCTCTTCTGCGAAATTTCCTGTTGAGTTCACCAATTCATCAAAGGCAAATGTTCGTAAACCACAATCCTCAGCAAACCCCAAATTTTCGCTACTAGAAGAGAGCTTTGTGTATGAATAGGCTTTATGAACGTAGATGAAGAAAATAGATATTGCAAATGCTAAGCTAAGGAAGGAAATTGAACCAAGAGTGATGACCAGAGTAAAAGTCAGATTCTGAAACTTTGGCTTTGGATTTGAAGGAATGTTATTTGTTGATGAAGGCAACTTGAACAGGGCTGTGGTCGAAAAGCTATGATCAAGTCTGCCAAATTCAAGGGGAAGCCTATACTTGCGGCAACTGCCATCACCATATAACGCAGCCCCACAATCACAGTCTTCCCTGCAAGATTTCTCCCAGTCTTTCATTTCCAATAATGGTAGGACCAAATAAGGAAAATGGCCCAATTGCACATCTTCTAAGGCAACAATTTCGTACAACATCTTTGGATCGTCACTGGTTTTACAGTCATCTTTGCTCCTCCTCTGTTCGCAGTCCAAGAACATGCTCTTACTCCCATTTATGGGTATGAATCCAGGATAACAATGACAAACACCTTTGCCTGCGGTGGAGGAACAATAACTGTTGAAGCCACAAAAACCATAGACACCACATTGATCAAAAAGATTATGCCACACAATATGGACAGTTGATTTGGCATTCCTCTCAAATCTGTGCACATACAATCTAAATATCCCATCCACATCAAGTGTTGCACGGTAGACTAAGCTTTCGTTATGCCCAGTAATGTTACTATGGCCCAGAACTCGTGAAGTATTATGGCTTCTATCAACCAAGCAAAGAAAGCCCGTAAGATTAAGAGTAAGCGAGACATTCCCAGAAATCATGGAGGCATAGTAAGCATCATCGCTCCTTCGATTGTTCACAGGGTAGGCCACAAGATTCCCATCATCCTGCATGATGAGAATGAAGTTTCCACTCGAGTGGTCGGATTTGGACAAAGAAGAGACCAGATTTTTTTGAGGAGATAAAGTTTGACCTCCTAACATGGTGTCGGTGGGGAAATCGAAGCTTTGCCAGATAACACTTTGATTCTTATCATAAATCACGAAATTGCCCGAATCAAGCATAGACGCTGAATGTGCAGGCACTGCAAATGACGCATTAGTAATGGATGTTCTTATCCCTGTCTCGTTAAACAGAACCAGGCCGTCTGTAGTTAACTCGATCACAGAATTAGATGATAATGGTGGACTGTTGCGATAAGCCGTCCATACAGTTATATTCTCATGTTCATGCCTCAGCCATATTCCAACAACAAAGCCTTTACCTTGTGGGTAAAAGCCGAAGGCGAAATGACCAGAGGGTGACACCCACGAAGTGGAATTTGATTTTGGGGAGAGCCGAGAATCCAAACGAATGATGCTGGGATCATTGGCTTCAGCTATAACTTGGTTTGCAGAAAGCACTGCGAAGAGCAAGAACAGAGTTATGGAAGCCGCCATGTGGGATTTGTGGAAGGAAGGGAAAACAGATGGATCAAAACTCAGAAGAAACGAAGGAAATTAATTTGCTTTCAGCTGCAAAGTGAAAGAGAGACACCGGCGTAATGATGCAAACGAGTAAAGACTTTGACTTGCTTCATGCATTGACCTGAGAATCTATCGTAACGCGATTTAACCCAAAAAAAAAAGTGTGGAAAATAATATAAACCGAGTGAAGACTTGACTTGCTTCCTGCATATTGCGTGTTCTTCAACACCAGCAGGAACACAAGAATGGGGAAGCAATGCGACTAAAGTAAATTTCAGCAAAGCAACGAATTATGGATAGATTGTTGAGTTAGGTATACAAAGGATTATTCTCAGGTTCACCTAGAGCTGGGAATCAGGGCTGGCCCGGCCCTCCAGGGCCGGCCCTTCAGGGCTGGCGGGCTTAAAAGGACCGGCCCTCCAGGGCTGAAATTTTAAAAATACCTTAATTTGCTAGGCCCGACCCTTAAGCTACAGGGTCAGGGCCGGCCCGCGGACTTTTGGCCCGTTTAAGAAAAAATATTATTTTTTATATTTATCATATTTTTTTATAAAAATATAAAAATAAACCAATGAAATTATTAATAAAAGACATAAATATGAATAAAATTAAGTCACAAATATAAAATATCATCATATATAAATATTCATCAACATCTAAGAACATTTAAAACATTCATTAACAAGATAACAACATCTAAAAGTTTTATCTATAATGCAATTGTGTAATAAATAAACACTATCATTAATCTTTTGAAACTTCATCATCACTATAATTAATTATTTTTCTTCATAAGTATACTTTTCTTTCGTAACAAAAATATCAAGTTTTTTCTTCTTTATAAGAATTTTATTTTTAAATTTTGCAATCTACCTATTATTTTACTTTAATGTGAGAAATATTGTTGTTGAAACTAATGAATTTCTAATTCAAATTATAGAATCACAAGTTATATAAGTATAAAAATATTCTATTATCAAATATATATATAGTTTAAAAATATCAACACATATAATATAAATCAAATCATTATTAAAATCCAAATTAACCCATTTTTTTAAAAATTTAATTGGATAAATTATTGTCTAAAACTAAATTTAATTTTAAAATGATAATAATAACTAAATATTTGAAATATTATTAACAATGTAAAAAATTAATAACATTAATATTATATAAAAAAATAAAAAAAATTATAAAAGGGCTTAAAAGGGCCGGCCCTTTTAAGCCCTCGGCCCTCCAGGGCTTATTTATCATTTTAAGAGAAAAATATCAAGCCCGGCTCTCATAATTTCAGGGCCTAAATGGGTCGGCCCGATGGGTTCAGCCCATTTTTCCGGCTCTAGGTTCACCAGCCCCTTGGCCGCAAAATTTTCTTCTTTTTTTTTTTCCTTTTACCAATTTATACTCACAGTAAATCAGTTAATGTTATTTGAAAAATAGTTAATATAATATTTGGTCCCTTAAATTTTAAATTATAAGTTTTGGTCTCTTAAATTTTTTTATTTAAAATATTAGACCTTATAATTCAATAAAAACTTAAACTAATTCACAATTTAAGGGATTAAAATCTATGGTTTGAAAATTAAGAGACCAAAACCAAAATGAGAGCATACTTAACAGACCAAAAATTTTATTAACCCTTCAAAAATTATAATCTTTTCATATTTCTCCTCATTTAATATATGAAAATTAATGGTTCTTAATTTTTAAAACTCCCTCTGGATATCATAAGGCATTCTCAACTAATTCTTACATACAAAGAAATGATAGTTAAAGCATTAAATGTATCCTAAATTGATAATTTTTTTTCAAGATTGCCCCCAACCTAAATGAAGAAGATAGATAAACACGAAGTTTGATAAGCTTTTAATACTAAATATTTATTATTTTAAACTGATTTTAATTAATTTCTTAATAAACATAAATGGATAAAGTTTATCTTATATTTTGGACCGGAGTGAGTAACAATTAATAAGTTGATTAATGAATTATATTTAGGATAAAAAATTCCTTCTAGGTCAAGTGATGCCCTGTAATAAGGAGTGGAGTACTTGTTCAGGCTTTTTCATTTTGGCTAAGAAAAAAACTCAAGTCCTTTTCATATTCTTTTGATTTTATTTATACGACAGAGAGTCAAAATATTTTTTGGTTATATTTATAGGGCACTGAGCCAATTTTTTTTTTTATGGATGTATAATTTTACCCCTTGTTTATTATTATATTAACCTTGTTTACATGAGGTATAATGTATAATAAATGAGAGTTAATAAAGTTTAAGGTTTTTCTTAGTTTGTGTGAAATATGTTAGAAGTGACTTATAAATAAAACCATAGAAATACATTTTGAAAATCCAAAAATGCCTTATATTTTTAAACATATTACTTCCTCTATTCCTCTTCGTAAGCTAAAATGGACAAGAACGGAGTGTCCCTGTTTACAAGACAATTTATAAATAGATATTTTGTTTAACTTTTATTTTGGTTTTGAATATAAGATCCCAATTCATTTTCTCTCTTATATTTATCCATTTTCTTCCAAAGTAGTCATAGTAATTATGGTAGTTCTAACCAATACACTTGATTGATAAGGATATTTTAAGAAAAACATCACATATTTATTACAAATAACTAACTTAACTAGTTTTCTTAATCTACTCGAATTAGTCAACTAACTCTTATATTAAGGACCAAAAGTAGTATTTATCAAGAGAGACAAGAGCATTTAATTGACGGGATTTATGGAAATGTGAATAATTATAAAGATATAAATTAATTTTCCTAATTTATATAAATTAAGTAAAATTATCTCATAAATAAGAGTAGAGAGTACTTCATAAAAAAATGCCTTATAATTTTTTTGTGACAAAAAATGCCCTACAATTTTAAATGAAGGGGGTAATACCGTTTTGGGATCCATTTAAACTTGACACAAAGATTTAAGGGATAGAATTTTTTCTATTTATCAGCAGGGTTGAGTTTAGCAAGAATGAGCTAATCTCTTAAAACATGATGAATCAACGTTCAAATCTCCACTGGGAGATGTAGAGATATTTAATATCCGATAATAGCTTAAATAAGATTGTATTGAGTAGGAGGATACTTATGCATAGAGAAAAAAAGAAAAAGACTTCTCTTTATTTCGTTTTTTTAATCTCCCGTTCACCTTCACTTTTCATCGTAACAATTGCATCAAATTTGAACCATTTCCAATGGCATGACCAATTACATCAAGTTCACAGTTTTCCTTGCAAGACTTCCCACAAGCTTCCATTCCCAATGGCATGACGAAATAAGGAATAAGGCTCCATTGCAGATATTGTAAGGAGACAACATCGCACAGCACCTTTAGATCTTCACTAGTTTTACAGTCACCTTTGCTCCTCCTCTGTTCACGGTTCAAGAGCGCGCTCTTATTCCCATTTATGGGCATGAATCCAGGACAACACTCACAAACAGCTTTACTGCCATTCATGGAGCAGTAACTATGGAAACCGCAAAAGCCCTTGACTTCACATTGATTAGACATGGATTGCAACACAGGTTTGAACATTATTGAAGCTGCTATTCTTCTCAAATGTGTGAACACAAATCTAAAAATACCATCCCAATCTAATGTTGCACGATAGATTAAGCTTGTGTTCCTTTCAAGATAGTTTCTACTATTGGTATTCCCATCAGTGCTTAAGCCAAGAAAGCTTGTAAGATTAGGAGTAAGCAGTGAGGCACCTGATTGAGAATTATCTGAGGCCCAGTAAGTATAGTTCATACGGTTGTTTTTAATTGTTTATTCTTTGCTTTTTAAGTTGTTTGCTGTCCATACGATTGTTCCTTCGGGTTCACCTAGCGGTATTCCAACCACAAATCCATTGTCTTGTGGATAAAAGCCGAAGGAAAAGAGACCCCACGCTGACACCCCTAAAGTGGAATTGTGTAAGAAAATGGGCCAGTCCACTGTTGGTGGACTAGACCTAGGCCCATTGGCATTTGGAGCCCTAGTGTGAATAGCAAAAATTATGGGTCTCTAACTGTGATTTTTGCTTTTTCATATATTTTGCCAAAAAGCGGGAACGGTTAGACAGAGGAGGTAGTTTTCTTTTAATTCAAAAATGTGTAGTTAGAAAACCGCAAGGGATCAGTTCAGTAAAAACCCTCGATTTGTTTTCATTTTCAACCATCCTCCGTTCTGTGTTCCAAAAACTCCCTCTCGATGCATTTGTTGTGAAAATCTAGATCCGACTCTGTCACCGTGATCGGACCTCCGTGTGGCTATCTGATTTCATTGTAGATTCCAGGTATGCCTGAATTCCTTCATTGGTATCAGAGCATGGTTTATTTTTCCTATTGTAGTCATTTCGTGGCCTGCGTTTTTTTATATCAGTGTTCTTTTTTTGTTTCTTCGGTTCTGAGTATCCAGTGATTTGCTCCAATAAATATTATGCAAATCCTTCCATTTATACTCCTGTATGATTGTTTTTTGACTTATATTTATAAGTAGATATGATACATTATCTCTCTGCCTCCATGAAAATCGTTTCACAGTAATCATTTTTCGGCCATACGTTTTTCATTTTTGGGTGTCTGGAAAATCAAGTTTTTCGGCTATGAAAACTATCCCATTGTGTAGAAGACGAAAAAACAAAGAAAACGATATAAAATGCACAAAAAACGGACACCGAACGGCCAAGATATGGAGGAGAGAAGTTTCTAACCCGTCGGACCCAACCCATCACTCCAGCTGGGTCGGTTTGACTTGGCTAGAGGTAGAAGATGTGCACAGTGATCAAAACGGCGTTGTTTTTATCACTGTAAAAAAAAATGACAGATTTTTTTTTAAAGCGAGGAGCATGGGTTAGCCTCTGGATCGGGTTGGTTGGCGCCAACCCGGTCCAGCCCAGTATTTTAAAAAAAAACATTTTAGTGCAAAAAAAAAAGAACAAATTAAAAAAAAAATTTTGTACATAACTACCACGT